TTCTGCAGAACTTCTGTGGGAACCACGTGTCCCAGGAAACACCCCAATTCTGCAAGAAGAGAGGCGGCTAGAGTTACTCGTGGGGAATTTTGAGAAGACAACGCTCGATCACTCAGGCCCTTTAAAATGGCATTTCTTACGGAGCATCTTGGCTCGCGTGGAATGTGTCTGGTTTTTTTCTTCTTTGCACAAAGTAGGTTAAGTGAGTGACGAATGATCATCCTCCCTTTTCTGCCTGGAAGTTTGCGTTTTCTCGTGCCATGTTAAGATGCCCGGTGGGCGTTGTGCGCCGGCTGTCTGTTGCGTGGGCATCCTTGGTGGTGGGGAGCCAGTGGGACAACAGGCAGGGAAGCAGCCAGCCTGTCGCAGGCTGTAGGGAGGCTGACAGATCTGGAGGCTGAGATGGGGCCTCCCCCGCGTCTGGGCGCCCCCTGGTAACGGACGTTCTGCCCTCCCGCCTGGGATCTTCCGCCACAGCTTCATTCCTGGAATTTCTGGGTGGTTTGTGGGGATGGCTGGGCTCTGCCCTCTGCCTTCTTGGCCTGTGAGTTCTAGGTCCGCTGTGAGGAAGAGCAGAGCCCAGGGAAGCCTGGGCTGGGCCGGCTACTGCCTGTCGTCAGGGACAGGGACAGCCGAGGGGGCGTGGCTGTGTGGACGCAGGGTTAGCAGGTGGCCCTCTGCATGGCCACGAGGAGGCGCTTCTCTTCCCCGAGCCCCAGGTTCCTCGTGTGTGGAATGGGGTAATAACGCGGCGATCAGAGCCACCCGTGGGGAGGTCGGGAGCGAGGAGCCAGCGCCCGGCCCTGCATCCTCCCCGGCACCGGTGCTGTTTGGGTCACGACTGGCACGAGGGTCCGCTGGAGGACCAAGCCGGACAGCCCCAGGGGCCACCAGCGGCGGGACAGCAGATAGGCACATTTCAGAGGTGGGGAGCAGCTCAACATAGCCACAGAGAGATGTTGAATTATGCAGGCTTGCGATTAAACAGGTCATATTTAAAATCCAGGTAATGCACCCTCAGAGCAAACCACCTCCAGCGTCTTTCTGCACCCTCTGCTCTCTCTGCCCTTGGGTTGCTGGTGTCCACTGCACCCTGGGGTGCAGTCACAATGTGGCAGGTTCGGGAAGGGCTTCCTGGAGACACCCACTCAGGGCTGGACACCGGCCACCAAGGAGCGTGGACACCTCATGGGGCCTGGGTCTCGGGGAGAGGCAGGCAGTGACCATGGACAGCCAGACTGCTGAGCCCAGCTGCGGGACCCCAGGAGCCCACTCAGAGCCACGGGAGGGGGCGAGCAGCACGCAGAAGTGGCCCTGATGTCTCACTGTCGTCAGTGTGAAGGACCAAGTCCTGGGGGCCCTGCAGGCCCGGTCAGGCCGTCCTGAAGCTGCCGTTCCTCAGGGATGCCAGTGCGGCAGACACCAAGCTCAAGTCAGTCTCCAGCGTTAGTCTCCAGCCTGGTGGGGCCCTTCGGTATTTCTCTCAGGTGCTGGACACCAAGAACTGGGTTTTGTGAGGGCCAAGGCTGAAGAGAACTGCCCCTTCCCAGCTTCCCGCTGTTACCCCAGGGTTTTCAACCCCTTCCCGTGGGTGTCAGTGGCGCCATCACTCCGGGCCAGTGTTAGAATCAAACCCAGGTCTTCCCTGAGAGCCCAGGCTGCAGACAACCAAGAAGGGAAGCTGAGTATGGTGGTGCATGCAGGTAATCCCAGTACACAGGAGGCTGAGGCAGGAGGACTGTGGAGTTGAGGTGAGCTCTGGCTGCAGAGTGAGTTCTGGGCTATATAGCAAGACCCTATCTCAGAAAACAAAACCAAACCCCAAACAAGCAGGAAGAGGAGGAGGAAGACACAGAAATCATATCTCATCCTTATATGGCTCCCCTGGTCCAGCTGGGAGGAGAGCTGTACTTTCATCCCGTAAATATTTACTGAACAGCCACTTGTCAGACCCTGGGGACTCAGCGCTGAGCAGGCCCGAGGCTTCCAGGAAGCCCCTGGGGATGCGCAGGAGCTAATCTGCCAGGCCTGGCCTGAGGGCGCCTCAAGGTCAGGGAACAGCGTGTGCAGGCACAGAGCTGGCCGGGCGGAGCTGGCAGCGGACTCCAGCAGACTTTCCCAATGTGGGAATGCAGCCGCACGGAGGACGCCGCACCGCACCCTTCCTGTCCCCTTGCTGCAGGCTCAGCTTAGTGTGCAGTGGCATTGCTGAGGTGCCGAGGGGACCCTTGCTGGATTTGGAGCACAGTGCTTTGCTGGCCCTGGTGTGCACAAAGTCCCATGGGGGGCAGGGGTGGTCGGTGGGTAACATTGGCGGAGGTTAGGTGTCTGGCTGTGCCAAGTCCTCCGGGCACTGGGAGGCTGGGCCGATGCCCCTGCAGCCTGGCAGGCCCTCGTGGGCTGGTGGGGCTCTCAACAGGGGAAGCCCCGGGTGCAAAGAGCACCGCACAGGGCCTGCTGGGGACAGGGCTGACACATTGCTGTATGCGCTTGAGATTCTGATGTGGAATTAGTACCTGAGGGGAAAGATGAGGCTCTTGAACTCAGTTCTGCTCCACACCCCAATGCCACCCCTCCACTGAACTTGGTCTGAATTTGGTCATGGTTCTGTCACCCACAGTCACACAAACACACGTGTGTAGATCCATAAATCATGCATAATATATAGGCATGTATTTTTTCTCTCTTTTTCCAATGCTGGGGATGGAACTCAGAGCCTTGAGCATGATAGGCAAGTCCTCTCCTATATCCTGAGCCCTGTTTTAAAATTTACATAAATCATACCATCAGCGTAATATTCTACAACTTGCTTTTAAAATAGCCATTGTATTTAATATTTACTACTGCCCATGGACAACCCTGGCAGGCTCTTTTTCCTGCAGTCTAATAGTCCACCCCCTCTGACTCACCACGCCCCCTACTGGTGGCCTTTGAGCTGTGTGTGTTTGAGTCACGCCCAGGTTTTTGTCTGGACCATCACAGCAGTCACATGAGCAGCTTTGTGCCCCTCATATGCTGCAGCACAGATTGAGACGGCTTGAGTGCCATGTGACGCCGGGGCCCGGCTGGTGATGTCAGCGCCCGGCTCCTTCGCCTCATTCCCATGTCAGTGTGCTTTTGGCAGCACTTCCGCGGGCCTGGCCTCCGCAGCTGGATGTGCGTATATGGTGGGGTGACCAGCCTGAGAGACAGGCTCAGAGGTTCTTGGTTTGGTTCCCAGCAGTGCTGGGAGCACACAGTGTCCTTGCTGCCCATCCTGGCTCTGCCCCAAGAGGCGGCCTCCGGGGACAGCGGCACTGGTGCACTACGGAGGGGCAGCCCAGCCCATGGCACAGGCAGGCCGGGACCCGGGAGGGTTTCCAGGGCTCGGGCTGGGAGCCGCAGCATTCCCAGGGCTCCTTGGCTCCCTCTCCGCCGCCGGCTGCCAAGGCTGTGCTTCCTGGGGTGCCCGTCTCGGCCTGCGGCCCCCGACAGGTGAAACCCGGGCTGGCTGCAGGGTGTGGTCAGGGCAGAGCCGGGAGCCCCCTCCGGGCCTTTGGTCAGTCTTCTTCCCTGCCAGGGACGGGCTCCCTCCTCTGCCCCTGAACCAGCCCTGAGCTGCTCGACCCCAGGCCCAGCGCCCTCTTCATGCAGCGCACCATGCAGCCGTGGCCCGGCACCGAGAGTCCTTGGCCTCTGAGTCTCCTCTTAGCCGGTGACCTGGGCTGCTCCTGCCGCCCCCTGAAGCCTCAGCCTCCTGTCCTGTGAGCCAGGGCAACCACAGCCAGGCTCCCGGGTTATGGTACTGGCGGGAGGTGAGGCAGATAAGTGGCCAGCTGGGAGGGCACTGATGGGGGCTTTGTGAAGGCCCAAGGATCCAGAAGGCTGGGCCGGAGCCCAGCACAGCTGGCACCAAAGGCATCCGTCTGTGAGCGGGGTGAGGACTCGGGCTGTCGCACCTGCCGAGCCCACCTGAGGTGACGGGGCACCGGGCCCCAGCCCAGCCCAGCACCTGTCAGGGTGGCTTCCAGGAACACACTGGACACACAGCTCCCGGACGGGGCGGGGACACTGGGGTCTGGGGCCACCATCTTCCCTTTGTCCCCTCAGCCCTGGTGTTGGCTTCATCACCTGCAGGAAATCGGGCCTGCATCTGGCAGATTGCCAACCCCCTGGCAGGGCGGGACCCATGGCAGGGAGGTGGTGGTACGTGCACAGGTACCAGCTACCCCTGAGAGCCACTACGCAAGTGGCCAGGTCAGTCCCGGAGTGTCTGTGACAGGCTCCCTGTTGGGCGGAGGCTGGGGGAGACTGTGTGGTCCTTAAATGCTGCCCTGCGCCATTTTCTGTGGCTGTCACTAAAACCCCCAGGCTGAGAAGTTGATAGAGAAGTTTACTTGCTCTGGAGGCTGAGGTCCAGGGTCCCAGCTCTGGCATCTGCTGCACTGTGACATGCAGGGGCCGCCTCCTGGCCTCGCCTACACCTCACGGCTCCCAAGGGCCCCACTTCCAAAGAGTCTGGGGACCTGGTTTCAGGCCTGTGAACTTTGGGGGACTCTGCAGAGCCACAGAGTGGCCTGCGTGGTGGGGACAGGGATGGGGATGAGGGGTTGTGGAGGATGCGGTCAGCGGGTCGCTGCCTGCACTGTGCCCAACCTGTGGAGGATGGACGACTGTGTGCTGGTAAGTGGGGCTCGCGCGTGTCCTTCGGTGGCACGAGATGACTCCACGGGGCCAGTCTGGGCACGGGGGATGGAGCCCGATTCGAGTCCTGAGGAAACGGAAGCGCTGGCAGAATCAGGAGGTGTGAGGGGTGGCCTGAGAGCTCAGGTCCCGACCCCGTTCTGGGGCGGCTCACCTTGCTGAACCCTGGGTTTGGACCCAGCCCTGCCCTTCCTGTTCGCAGGACACTGGTCAAGGAGCCTCTGGCCTCAGTTTCCACATCTGCCAAGTGGGAAGGAGCGCTCTTGCTGTGGCCAGCTCAGCCTGATCTCCTCCTTGCACCCTCTGCTTCCTTCCAGAGCATCCGCATCCGGTGCCACCTGGAGCCCAGGCTGCCTGCCTCACCCAATCCCGATGCACCGTGGGGCCATGAGCTGCGTCCCGAGTGGCTTCGTCCCCTTGGGGCTGGTGCTGCTGGTGTGCGGTGCCCAGGGCTTCCTCCTGCCCAACGTGACTGAGCTGGGGGAGCTGCTGGGCCGGTACCAGCGGGCCGAGCCGTACTCGCGGGTGCGCAGGGCCATCCCCCGGGAGGACCGTGAGGAGATCCTGCGGCTGCACAACCAGCTCCGGGGCCAGGTGTCCCCACCCGCCTCCAACATGGAGCACGTGGTGAGAGCACCCGGCCGCTGTCCTCCCTGCCACAGCGGTGCCTGGGGCCACGTGTGAACATGGCCTTGTTCCCAGTGCCTTTGTGGCACCTCCCTCGCCCAACCCCGGCCTCAGTTTCCCCCTCCCTCTGTTCCGGTGACAGTGAGATGCCAGATCTGGGTCTGTCCCACCTTGTCCCCGTCTTCCCAGGGTCCCAGGGGAAGCCGAGTCCTTGAGGGGGCTGCTGGAGGTGAGGAGAGGCCCTGGGGTCCAGCACCCCAGCCTCCACCCCTTGCTTTCTGAGGTCTGGGGGTCGTCCCTGCACGGATGTCCTCTGTCCCAGGCATCTTCATCCGCAGGGATTCTGTCCACACAGCAGCCGTTACCCAAGGCAGCTTTTAGCACTTAAAATGTAGCCAGCATGACTGAGGAACGCAATTTCTTTCTGTGTTTCCATTTTTGAGACAGGGTCTTGCTGTGTATCCCAGGCAGTGATCCTCCTGCCCCAGCCTCCCGGGTGCTGGGATTACAGCGTGTGCCATGACGGCCAGTTTGAGGAACTCAGTTTCTAATTGGATTTCATTTTAATTAGGTTGAAGCTCCTGCCTGTGGCTAGCCGCTTCCGTGTTGGCCAGGGCAGGTCACCCCACCCCACGAGCTGTCTCCAGAGCCTGTGCTGTCCCTGCCTGTACCCTGTTCTCACCCACCCCTGCCTCCCTTCCCTGCAGACCTGGGACGAGGAGCTGGAGCGGTCAGCGGCAGCTTGGGCCCAGCAGTGCATCTGGGAGCACGGGCCCACCAGCCTGCTAGTGTCCATCGGGCAGAACCTGGCTGTGCACTGGGGCAGGTGAGAGCCAGCTGCATGTAGGCTTCCAGCGCCTGCAGGTTGGTGTCTGTCCAGAGAGGCCTGGGCGTGGGCGCGAGAGAGCACCCTTCTTGTTGGCAGGTGGGGAAACCAAGGCCGGGCGCCCAGGAACGCTTGCCACAGTGGGCAGAAGGGTGGGAGACTGGGCCGGGCGCCCAGGACGGCGGGGAAGGCCAGTGCGCCCCAGCCCCGCACTTTACACTGCTCTGGCCATCAGGGCTGCCGCTGTGTCCCTCTGGGCCTCCAGCTAGCTCTTTGTCCCCTGTCTGCAGGCAGCATGGACAGCTGCCCATCACCGTAGTGACCGGCCCACCACAGAGAGCTGGGCCGCATGCCCCAGTCCCCTCCCAGGGCCCAGGGCCCAGGGCATCTCAGTGACCACAGCCAGGGCAGTGGCGAGCGGCCAGGGGAGACCAAGCGCCCAAAGACCCCAATTCACGTCCTCACTGCCAAGGCCCAGGACCCTGATCGGCCTCCTCGTCGCCCTGCCTATGGGAGCCTGGGCCGGGCCCCTACTGGCTGGTCACTGCACCGTCACGTCACGCCCAGCTGTCAGGCCGTGACAAGCCTGGCAGGTGTCACTGGGGGGAGAAGGCGACCTCGTGGAGGGAGTTGGCACTGCTCTTCCTTTGGTGAAGTTTGGTTTTCATAAAAACAGCCCACGATGCTGTCAAAAGAAAACGTCCGGGGGCAGAAGTGTCAGGCCGCCGAGGGGCTCGCTCCCCAGCGTGCTGAGCTCCTCCAAGGGTCTGGCTGGAGCCCGTGAGCCTTTACGTGCTTGCAGCTGGAGCCCCGAGCTCTCCTCAGAGCCTGGCCACTCCTGGTCACGGCCTCGGGAGCTTGGCCTGCGAGCGCCTCCCGCCCTCTGTCCAGCTCTGGTGCTGGCTGAGGTGATGTCATCAGGACGGCTCGAGGGTGGACACGGCACCTCCTCCTGCTCAGTTGCGTGCCGCCACGTTTCCCCAAGCAGCCCCGGGACAGGAGGCCCTGTCCCTGGCCTCGCTGACCAAGCTGTTGGCGCTGGGCCTAGCAGCGAGGGCTACCAGGTGTCTGCTGCCGGCTGCATCGCTCACGCAAACAGTCCGCCCTTTGTCCGCTCTTCTCTGTGCGGAAGCCACTCTGTCCTCACGGTGACAGTGCCCCACCATCTGGATCGGGTCTCTCGGCTTTCCTCGTTACAGCAAAACCACACGGTGCCCCCTGGCCCGTGGGCCCAGGAAGGCAGAGGCTGTGTAGCCCTTGTGGAGGACGTCCAGGGACAGGTGCAGAGGCAGCCCCCGCAGTGTTGACACTGCCGGGAGCCCTCGGGGTCAGGCTGCCGGGACCCCGGAGTGTGTGCTGGCCTGACCGCCACAGACGCCGGAGCTGAGGCACGGGCTCCTCCGGGAGGGCCACGCGGGGCCTTCCCCAGACACAGGCTAACCTGTCCCTGTGGGTGTCCCAAGTCGAGTTTTGTCGTAAGCTGCAGCCCCTGCAACTGCGGAGTTCACGGCTGCATGTGTGAGGGTACACGCACGACTAACCCAAGAAAGGCCCCGGGGCCCGGGAAGGGCCTCCTGCATGGCGGTGTGTGGCCCCTGGCAACCCACAGGGACCCAGGTGACCCAGGGCATCCTCGCGGTGATTTTAGGCACCTTCCATGGTGGCGGGATGCCCGGGCTGCACCCTCCGAGCAGCCCCTGCCTGCCCCAGGTGGTGGGTGTGTGGTGGCCGGGCTGTGACCCTATTTTCACCCCGCAGGTACCGCTCGCCCGGCTTCCACGTGCAGTCATGGTACGACGAGGTGAAGGACTACACGTACCCCTACCCCCATGAGTGCAACCCCTGGTGCCCCGAGAGGTGCTCGGGCGCCATGTGCACCCACTACACGCAGGTGAGGGGCGCCCAGCCCTGCACCCCAGGGCTTCCTTCCCTTCCCCCAAGGCGTGGCCAGGCCTGTGGGACCTGGGCGAGGTCATGGCTTTTGTGTTGACTTTAAGGTGTGGTGGCATCAGCTGTCCTCACTCCCACACCGCGCGTGTTGTGTTGCTGGGCAGTTGCCGGCCTTGTGTGCCTGGGACTTTGTTTTTCAATACCCGCCTGTTCCTTCTGGGGGCCGCTGTCCCCCTTGCTTCCCTGCACATGCTGTGCCAGCCCCTCACACATCCGGACCACCTTGCGTCATCCGGGGTGCCCTGTCCCTTGAGCTGTGACCCCCGAATGTTCTTTGCAGATCGTCTGGGCCACCACCAACAAGGTTGGCTGCGCCGTGCACACCTGCCACAGGATAGACGTCTGGGGGGAGATCTGGGAGAACGCCGTCTACCTGGTCTGCAACTATTCTCCCAAGTGAGGGCCGCGGGCGTGGGTCGGGACCTGCTTGCCTGCCCAGGGGCCCAACAAAATCAGCTTCACCAGGGATGTCTCCCCTCCGCCTCACGCCCCTTGCCTGGGAGTGGGGTGAGCTCTCGTGGGGGTCACCCGGCCTCTCCCGGACGGGACAGCTCTGGGGCATCTCCATCCCATTTAGGGGGTCCCCCAGTGCCCTGGACCCTGTGCGTCCCAGGCCAGCCCGAGTGGAGCAGAGGGTTGGGCCTGCAGCGGGCTCAGGGCAGTGCCCTCCTGTGCCTGAGGGTGAGGGGCCCAGCTGTGCCCCCCGCCCCTGTCCTCCTCACTGCCCTGGGATTCATCCGCTCCTTGGGGCCCGGAGGCTTCAGGCCACAGACGGGCTCGTGTCCGGCAGCTGTCTTTGTAGTTTGTCCTCTGGCGGCGGCAGCAGGCCATCTCCTGCCCTCCCTGGGAAGTGGTCAGAGGGTGGCACCGGCTGGGCCTGTTGATTTAACCCCAGTCCTGAATGGGCCGGACCTTGGGCCGGGCCGCCCAGGGCTTCCTACACCACCCCCTGTCGGAACCCACTCAGCAGGGGAGGAGCAGAGGCCGGGGTGGGGACACTGGCCCCGGCCACCCTGGAGCCTGCACTTCACCCAGGCCTGATGGGGCAGAAGGGCTCAGCCCCCTGCTTTCTGGGACCCAGTTCTCAGGACCCTGCACTGCAGGCTGAGATCTGGACAGGGCTGCGGTGGGCGGGTGGGACAGGGCTGCCCTCCTGATGGTGTCTCTGCTCTGTCCTCAGGGGGAACTGGATTGGAGAGGCCCCGTACAGGACCGGCAGGCCCTGCTCCGAGTGCCCGCCCAGCTACGGGGGGGGCTGCAGGAACAACCTTTGTTACCGAGGTAGGGCACACTTGCCTCGTGAATGCAGCCCTGGGAAGTCCCCATGAGGGCTCCCTGGCTGCGCTCCAGCACCTTGAGCACCACCTGTGCCTCCCCAAAGTGCACAGTCTGATCAGACAGAAAACTGAGCTCAAAGTCCCAGGCAAACACCAGGAGGGCAACAGATGAGCCAGTGTTGGGGCGCCAGAGTCAGCCCGCTTCCAGCATCCCCAAGCATGCGCCTTCCTGTCCCCAGGGCAGTGTCAGACATGGCTCCCCTCATCGGGGGCACTGGGGTCCCCCTCGTGGCTGCGTGGCCTGTGCCAGCCCCTGTTTGGCCGCCAGCCCCGGGAATCCTGGCCTGTCCGTGCAGCTCCCATTTTCCCGCGGCTATATGGGATCCAGCAGCCTGCCCAGAGCCTCCCCTATATCTCGGGGCTGGGAGATGCGAGGAATGGCCCAGGAGGGCCATGGTGGGCCGGGGACCTGTGTTCCACGCGGCTGTGTCACAGGCCCGGTGACGGCTGAGAGGTGGGCAGGTGGGACGAGCGAACCCTGTGGCCCTGACCTTCCCAGGCTGCCAGGTCAGCTGTGGGCCCTGTGGGCCAGAGCCAGGGTCCTGGACCCTCCCAGAGCCCGGTGCTCTGACCCTGCCAGCTGTTCCTGCTCACTCTGGCCACACTGGGGACGTCTGAGAGGGGCTGGGGCAGAGGGAGAAGCCACCCGGACACCTGACCCAGCCCCTGCCCCGCCCCCCTTGGGTTCTCATCACCCCAACACCTGGGGACCCTGTCACCCAGTGGCTACCACTCCAGGGCCTCAGCCATGGCAGGTGTGTCCTGCAGGCTTAAATAAAAGCACCTCTTCCCCATAAAGGGTCAGTTTTAGAAAACAAACCCACACAGAGGCCTTAGATTCCAGTTTACCTGTAAGAACGCTCCATATACTCAGCTCTATTTTTGGTGGACAATGCTCAGCTTCTCGTGGCAGCCCTTCTGCTTCTAGCTAACCATGCGAAGTCTCGACAAAGCACCTTACTGCATAAGCTACTTAGCAAGCTCCAGCTGACCTGTCAGGGCGACTCAGGGATTTAAGGATCAGAATCGGGAGAAAGCAGTTTCCCTCCCCCGAAGCCCCCTGCGTGGGGATATCGGCAGCGGGGCTTGGGAGGGAGGAGCTCCGCTCCCTGTCCAGCTGTTCTTTGCTGTGTGTGCTTAGGGTGCTCCCCTTACCTCTCTGAGCCTCGGTTTCCTCCCCAGTGGTGTGGGCAACAAGTTGGGGTGGGGCCTTTTGTCCAAAGCACATGGCTCTGAGCTTTGTCACCAGTTTTAGGACCCGGGAAATGTGCAGTGTGATGTGCAGGTGGCCCGGTGCGCTGAGCCTTGGTTGCTGGGCCTCCAGATGTGCCCGCCCGCCTGGGAGCACCCATTTCTGATGTGTGGGTCTGAGGGCAGGAACTCTGCCAACCCCTTAACACCTAGCCCTCCAAGTGCCCAGCTGCTTCACCCGGCTGGACTCAGCCAAATAAAGCTGCGATTATGAGTCTACAAACCCCAAAGGCAGTGGAAGAAACCAGGCCTGTTCCCGAGGCCGCTGGGTGTCCACAAGGCTGCACTGAATGGCTGCATTGATGGGGCAGAGTCGGCGCTGCCACGGGGCATGGCCCTGGGAGCCCAGGGTCTCAGAAGGGTCTGCCCGTGGCTTTGGCATTGGTGATGCTCCCGGGTTGCTTCCCGGGTGTCTTTAAACTGTGCTGGGCGTCTGTTTTCCTCGGGGCAGAACCCTTGGTTGTGGATGACTCACTCAGTTTGCTCGAGCAGCTACTGAGTGTCGGGGGCTGGGTGCCCGGTGAGTGTGGAGCTGTTTGGCTCCTGAGCTCTGGAGCTCGTGGCAGATTCCAGCCTAAGTGTGCTGCCAGCCTGGCGAAGGAATGGGGCGGTGCCCAGCTGGGGCATTCATCCGTAATCCCAGCACTCTGGGAGGCTGAGGCAGGAGGACCCAGTTTGTTCAAGGACAGCCTGGGCAACTTAGTGACTCAAGGAGACCCCATCTCAAAATAGAAAAGTAAAAAAAAAAAGGGGTGGGGAATATACCTCAGTGCAAAAGTCCTGGCTTCAGGTCCCCAGAACCACACACACAAAGGAAAACAGTAATGGGATGGGGACTCGCCTCCTGGCCCAACCATCCAGTCTCCCTTCGGGACAGGGTCTCCTGGGGTGGGAGTGAGGCCACCAGGAAGCAACCGCAGAGTCCCCGCCTGGGAGAGCATCGGGGTCACTTAGGGCTGGGGTTCAGGTCAGGGTTAAGCTGGCCTTCGTCTGGACGCCTCGTGCCGTGTGGACACGGATTGCCCGGGGCCTTTGGGCAGAGAGGCCGCTGCTTAGATGTGGAAGCCAGACTCTGGGATTGATGGCTCTTGACGAATCCCAGAAGTCACCAGGCACCGGCGGCGGTGCCTAGTGCCCAACAGTCCACGTACGACCTTCAGGAGCCAGGCGGTGTGAAAGCCATGCCGAGTAGAAGGGTGCTCCAGACTCTGGACTGGTCTCTCCTGGGCTGCGGTTTCAGCACAGCCCTCTCTTGCTGCCCAGCGCAGCTCCCCTCGGCTGTATGAGAATTGAGAATCCTATGAAGCAGGCTTTGGTTGGAGGACTTGCCCAACCCGGCTGGATGTGTGCACTTGGGCACCTTTACAGCCAGCCAGCCAGGCCAGGCCGCTTGGCGCGGTGCAGTAGCTCAGGTGCATTTCTGACCTGGGTCCTCTCAGCTGAGGTGGGTTTTCAGGAAGGGGCCCTCGGTGAGGTGAGGGGCTGGGAAAGCGGGGGTCCCCGTCCCGCTGCACAGGCCTGCCGGCCACCCGCCCCAGCTCCCCTTTGAGCAGAAACAGCTTCTGGCTTCTTACTCTGGCTTGGAGTTACCGAGGGGCGTCCTGGCCGTCTGAGGATGGCTTGTGGCAGGCGGTTCATGGCTGGCCTTCAGGATGAAAATGAAATCAGCAAACTCAGGTTTAATTCTGGCCATTTGGCCCGTTAATTGAAACATCTTAGAGCTCAGGGGTTGTGGTCATGGCTGGAGGAACAGTGACTTTCGCTGTCCTTGCTGGGCAGAAGAGTGGGACAGGAGCTTCGGGCTTTTCACCAGGGGCTGGGTCCTCAGGCTGTGGCCCGGCAGCTCCCGCAGTACTGGAGAGCTCAGCTCCAGGCAGAGAGGCGGTGGGGCTGGCTGAGGGGTCCCTGACTCCAGGGCCGAGAAGGGCACAAAACGTGTGTGGCAAGGTGCACTGGGGCCTGTGTATCACACGGGCCAAGGCAGAGACTAGGAGCAGGGACACTTCTGTCCCCGGGCGGGTGGGTTCTACCCGGCCAGTTCTTTCCCGAATGAACCCATCCCGGCTCCTGAAGTGAATCTTGGTGACACTGAGTGTCGAACAAGCTTCGTTTTCAAATTGCACTTTTCCCTCCAAAGTACGTATGTTATAATCTTTTCTTTCTCGGTACCGGGGATTGAACTCGGGTCCTTGCACTTGCGGGACAGGCGGCAGAACCACTGAGCTAAATCCCCGGCAAAAGTGCGTATGTTAAACTGCAGTGTGTTGTGTTTCTCTTTCCTGCCTCGCCGCCGTGAAGAAGAAGCCCACCACCCCACGTCCGAGACAGAGGAGATGAACGAGGTAGAGACGCCCCCGGCTCCCGATGAGAAGCATGCCTGGGTCCAGCCGAGGGTGGTCAAGCCCACCAAGCCCCGGAAGACCCCTGCAGTCACCTACATGAGTGAGTCACTGTCGCTGCCTGGGGGAGGGGGAAGGTCTCTTTGGGGCGAGTGGAGTCAGGGAACGGGGGCTGGGTCTCAGGCTGACAGCGAGGCGGGGCACAGGCAGAGGAAGAGTGCTCGGGTGGCCTTTTGGAGCTTCCTGTGTCCTTTCCGAGCAGACCTGGCTGAAACTGGGCTCCTGTGGGATGACTCCTCCGCACGGGGCGGATCATGACTGCTCCGGGGGCTGTGAGGGGCTGAGATTCCCCAGCAGCGCCCCCATCCCTGGTGGGTGAGCAGTAGATGCTTTTCCCGACTTCTGGAAGTCACAGGTGCAGAAAGTGCCTTGTAGCCTCCTGGCACCTGGCCCGCACCTTGAGGCTTCTGCTTCCAGGCTCTGGTGCTGACCCCCCTTCTGCCCCCTGGACCTGAGTGGGCTGAGTTGGGCCAGATACCTGTGGTTCTGTTTCCCCGAGCACCTGGCCTTGCCTAGGGGAGCCCCCTCTCTGAGGCCCCCTCCTTTCTTGGGTCCTTCAGCCGCCCGCCAGGCCCTCCCCTTGTGGCCTTTGAGAGCCTGGCCCAGTGCCCTACCACAGAGCTTTCCTGCAGCTCACTTTCACCTGAGACGTGCAGGGGCCCCGCTCCGTTCAGAGCTGCAGAACAGGGCCAGTTTTAATAATGCAAAATCGTGACTGTGTTTTTTTCAAACAATGACGCCATCTCAGACTCTGATAAGTCCTTATAAAATAAAACAGGATGCCTCACTGCTCCCGCTGGGAGGAGAGGCATCTTCCCCTCCTCGTCTATCTGCCCTCCGGAGCTGGGGGGCCTTCGGGTGCCCGTTGTCTCATTTAATGCTCACGAACCCTCTGACAGTGGCATGCCCCGGCCCCATCATTGTGTGGACACTGAACTTTGGGTGTGCACGCCCTGGTCACACTGCATGGCACAGAGTGGCTGGCAGTAGCCACGGCCAGGAGGTGCCATGTGGCTCTTTTGCTGGGGTGTGGTTTCATGGTCCTGATGTCCCGGGAGCAGGAGGGTCCTGCGGCCCAGCCTAGCCCTGGCTTCTTGCCGTGCGTGACACACTTTTCCCTTCTTCTCCAGCCCAGATTGTCCACTGTGACACCAAGATGAAGGACAGGTGCCAGGGCTCCACATGCAACAGGTGAGCAGGGCCAGAGTCTGCCCCAAAGCTCCTGCTGTGGGAGCAGGGCACAGTCAATTGGTTGGCTGCCACCCATGCCAGGCTCTGAGCAGTCTCCTGGAAAATGGTGCTCATCCCTGTGACACAGAGGTGGGTGGCCTGCCCTGTGCTGTCAGTCCATCCCAGCATGACATCTGGTAGGCCTCTGGCTGCCCCCACTGACTGAGAGCTTGCCACACCACGTTTTTGAAAACCCAGGCCAAGGTTTCCCACCTGGCCACCACTGACACTTTGGGCCAAATAAGTCTTCATGGTGGGGAATTCCTTTGCCTTGTGGGGATGTTCCGTGCATTTCAGGGATGTCCTCTGCATTATGGGAAGTGTCCTGTGCATTGTGGGACATCCTGGATTACAGGATGGCCTCAACCTTCCAGATGCCAATGTGAAGCCCCCTAGTTGTAACAGCTAAAAATGTCTCCACACATTGACAAATGACCCTCAGGGGTACCCCTAGTTGAGAATTACCCCTAGTAGAGAACCACTGCCCTGGAGGATTGCCCCAGTCCCTGATCCCCTTCCAGTTTAGTATTTTGTCCTGGTAGGGAGAGGGTTACAGCCTGCAGGCCCTGTGACTACTTCTGAGAGCATCACCATTTTGACCCGGTGGTTGTTGGCGTGGACAGTGGCTGCTGGCAAATAAGCCTGTCGATGCCCTTGGTGTGGACACCTCATCAGGGCCAGCACAGCGCCAGCATCTCGGAGTGTTTAACACACCACTGCCCTCTGCCAGACCCGGGCCCACACCCTCTGAGGCCTCGGCTTTGGGGTGCACAAGGCACATGCTAGGCTTCGGGGTTCTGAATGTGTTGGCAGAGACCCCCAGGGAGTTCTCAGTGCGGCAGTGAATGTGCTCGAGGCTCAGAGCCTTGTGGAGCCCCTGTGCTGTCCGCAGACCTCAGATTCCTGGCCCACCTGGCAGAGAGGGGTAAGCACGGGAAGTCACCAGTGTGACCTTGAGAAGCAAGACTCAAGGACCAGGAGAGTCTAAGCTCGCTGGGATGGGGTGAGGCTGCTGTGGCTGGAGGCGACTCCCGGGCACGGGTGGGGGCCGCGTGGCAGGCTGGGGCTGGGGAGGCCGACACTCCCCATCACGTCCCAGCTGGCCCAGGCTGCCCTGGTTTAGCACCGGAAGTCCGGGAAACCCCTCAGCCCGGGCTCTGGATGCTCTGCTGACCACCAGGAAGGTGATTCAGACAGACTCCTGAGAGCCACTGAAGGACTGGGATGAGGTGTGGGGCCTGCTGTCCCGGTGTCCCCAGAGCCGGTCTCTTCCCCCACGTGCCTGCTCATGTGCTCCCGCTGGGCTTTCCTCCAGGGATGTGCTGGTCACTGGTTTAGAAAGGAACCGTGGGACCGTGGAATCGGCAGATGTCAGTGGCAGATGTGCTGCAAACGTGAACCATAGGGAGCTCTGGACTATGCCTCTGCCCCCCACCACAGGGGTTCCAGCTGGATTGGCCTTGGGCTGGGCACCCAGGCCTGCGGGGATAGACAGGGCTGCTTCTTGGGAGCCCCTCGAGGACAGAGCCCCAGGCGCAGACAGGACTGTCCAGCACCACTAACGAGATCTTCAGAGGTCGGAGATCTTCCTTGGATTCTGTCATCAGTTTGTCTAAAGCCGAATTGAATTATCTAAAGCACCTGCTGAGAAGAGAAGGCAGCGGTTCCCACTTTTTCCTCGGGGCTTTGGAAGCTAGCTTGTCAGAAACACGCTGGCCAGGGGCTGCGGCCTTCTTGTCCACTGCGGGTTAGTGCGTCCCAGGGTGAGCCTGCCTGTGACAGCTCTGCTGGCTCTGCACACACGGTGCCAGATGAGCCAGATGTGGCAGCCTTTGGAAGAGGAAGGGCTGGGACACAGCCAGCAGTGCCAGGATGGGGCTCCCCCACACCCCGAGCTCCCGGGCCCTGTGCCATGCTGTGCCCGGCTAACTCCCATGAAGATGTCACACCCAGGGCCTGCTGGAGAGGCTGAGCGAGGACATTCCCGGTGAGATGGCCCCAAGCCACCCCGTGGTGGGGTGGACAGGAGTGTCCGGCAGGGAGAAGGTGGGCTCTGTCCCCAAACATGGGCCGAGGCCCTGCGGACACCCAGACTCACTGGTAGAAGCCTCCCACGGCGTGGTTTGTCCTATGGGTAGATGGGTCTAGTACTGCTTGTGCAGTTTCACTTATACATTTTATAATATATTACACATGTTTTATTATACATATAAGATTTTTCAAAGTGCATAAATATTTCCCAAATGCTTCATTTTTAGTGGCTGTGTAATGTGCCAACGTACAGCCACACGGAGCTCTGTTGGGCCATTTCTTTGTCACCTGCTAGCTTATTTCCGGTTTGCACAGTTATAGACAGCTGGAGTACAGGCAGACTTTTATGAGGAAACCCCAGGCTCCGCGGACGTGAACGTAAGGTTTCCTAAGAGGCCCTGTCATGAGCAGGGGCACCACCCTGAGCCTGCCCCGTTGCAAACCCTTGCAGCATGATGCCCACAAACGCTGCCGGCTCCTCACTGGTGCGTCTTCAGTGACGAAGTAGAGGGGCTTGGGGTGCATCGGGAGCCCCATGACTGTTTCCTGTGGCCCAATGTGTGGGGCGTGAACTTCAGTCAGGCTTGGCTCTCCAGTGACGGTGTCTCCACGAATGAAACTTTTCTAGGTTGAATAATGGAGCCGAGGCCACTGAGATTCTGTCACCATGATTATCCCTAAGCACACTGTGTCCCTCTCCCGCCAGGTACCAGTGCCCAGCAGGCTGCCTGAGCTCCAGGGCCAGCGTCTTCGGGACTCTGTTTTACGAAAGTGTAAGTGTGGCCTTGGAGCCGTGCGGGCTCCTCCGGGCCCTGTGTGGACGTCTGAAGCAGGTGGGGTCAGTGGGCAGGGTTCTCTTTCCACCCTGGGAGAGTGGGTGTGTGGCCCGCTCACGCGTGCTCGGGGTGCGGCCAGGCCTGGCCCATGTCAGTCTCTGCCAGGCCGGTCAGCATGCGCCATGAGTGGGGAGGAAGGGCTGCTTGTCGCCAAGCTCGCGGCACAGTGGTTGGGTGAGTCCCTTTGGGTGAGCAGTGAGGACGGAGCCGTGGCTGTGGGGATTGGAGACTCAGCTGGGGTGAGGACAGCGGCTTAGGTGTCTCCCACCAAGGTGGATTCGGACCCACGCGTGGCCTCCCCTCCCCGCAGTCCTCCAGCATCTGCCGGGCCGCCATCCACTATGGCATCCTGGACGACAGGGGCGGCCTGGTGGACGTCACCAGGAATGGGAGGAAGCCCTTCTTCGTCAAGTCCCAGCGACACGGCGTGGAGGCCTTGAGGTACTGCGCTGGGGCCCCAGGAAGGCTCTCTTTGGGTTCCGGAGGTGTACGGAAGCTTTGAATGGTAGCAAACCCTAGGAAGACGTGGGAAGAAATACAGATAACCCAAATCCCGGGGCTCGGAAGTCACCCCGGAGCCGGTCAGCATGTGTATTTCTAGCAGGTTTTTTGGAGTGCAGGTGTCACTTGGTTGCATTTAGAATCCTACTTTTTCTGCTGTCCTGGCCACCAGAAATGTATCACAGTGAATGGTTGATGGTGTCCTTGAATGTGAAGGGGTTTTTTGGTCTTGCAGTGTAGCCCAGGCTGCCCTTGAACTCACGGTGATCTTCCTGCCTCAGCCTCCTAAGTGCTGGGATTACAGGCACCTTAGTTCTTTTTTTCATTTTTCATACCAGAAATTGAACCCAGGGCCTACATGCTTGCTGGGCATGCCTTGTACAGCTGAGCTACATCCCAGCCCCAGGCAGGCGTCGGCACCACTAAGCTAAATCCCCGGCCCCAGGATAATTGTTGATCAGCACTTTATCTTGCTCCCTAAGGAATGAGACTTTTTGATGTTGGGCTTCTTTTATACAAAGTATTTTTTTCCAACTTTTTTCTTTCAACCAATTGGGAAATTTTAATTTGGAAATCTGCGATGCAAAATGTTGTGAAATTGGGAACATTTAGGGCATCTTATTAGTGCTTAAACAGGTGGGGTTGGATCACTTTGGGCTTTGGATGCTGGATTGGGGATCCTGGGCCGGTGAAGACTCCAGGACACCCTACCTCTCCCTCCACCTCTGGTCCCAAGCCGGTCCAGTGGGCTCACAGCCTGTGTTTGCTCATCCCGGAGGTGATGCTAATCACCTAGGACAGTGGCTCCAGGGCAGTGACTCCTGTATGCTGGGACAGAGGCGCCAGACTCCTGGAGACCTGGGCCCCCGGGCTGCAGGGTCCAGCGGGCCTGACTCAAGTCCTGCTGCTGCCTCTGTGGGCCAGCTCCTCCTGCTCCTGGGGGCCACCCCTTTCTCTTGGGAGGCTCACAGCAGGACCCAGGGCTGCCACCTGAGGGTCCACACCAGGCCGAGAGCTTCCCTAAAATGTGGTCAGGACAAAGCTGTAGTCCTGAGCACTGGGGAAGTTCCACCTCCCTGCCTGAGCCCCGCCCCATCCAAGGCCTGGGGCCTGGTGTGCGGGGGTGGGGCGCCGGGAACCCTGCCTGCGTCTGGCAGTGCTGGGCCATAGTGAATCTCAGGCTGATTGTGTTGGCAGCCTGTCCCTTGGACAGGGTCCCACGAGAAGAGTTCAGGGTTTCCCGGGTCTGTACCCAAGGAAAGCGGGGACAAATGCTTCTGTTCGTTCTCTGTTTCTGTCCCAGTTGTGAGCCACCTGGAAAACTTCCAGACCATCAAGGGATCCCTGTTTGCAAGGTCTCTGCCTCGGGCAGCGTTCCCTTTCTGTCCCAGGGAGGGACCTGGGCTGAGATGTTGGCCCGGTGACCGGGGTCAGCCACACCAGGCCCAGCGGGGCAGCCATGCAGCTGGGCACCCGTGGGGTGTTGGGGTCCTGGGGTGTCTTGGGATGTCTTGGACTGGCCCCTCCTGCAGGGCGGGGTTCTCCCGGGGCAGGACTCACTCCAGTGGGATGTGGCCCCCCCTTCCTGCGTTGTGCCGGCCGCAAACCTGAGCCTTGTGAGCTGGGCCAGTGGGTTCTGTCGGCCTCTGGAAACATCCGCAGTGCCTTCACCCTTAACCACACTCCGTGTCATGTATAATGAGGAAGCACGACTCAAACCCTAATGCAGACAGCTTTAATAATACTACTGACATGCAGGCGTGATGTCTCAAGCCTGTAATCCCATTACTTGGGAGGCTGAGGCAGGAGGATGCCTTGAGTCCGAGGCCACCCTGGGCTACACAGTGAGTCTACATAGTGAGACCCTGTCTCAGCCCCCCGCCCCACAAACAAAATGGTACCGATATCTGATTTCCTTTCTAATGTTTGAAGTTTACGTTATGCTTTTTAAAACCATCGTTCAGGGCCGGGGATTTAGCTCAGTGGTTTCGCCGCCTGCTGCACAAGCACAAGGACCTGAGTTCGATTCCCGGTACCAAAAAATAAAAATAAAATAAAATAAAACCATCATTCCAAGAAAGGGTCTGTAGGCTTTGCCAGGCTGCCAGCTGAGTCCTTGGCAACAGAGGGGGAGCAGCTCTGCTCTGGAATGTTCTAAGGTCGAGGTGGCCCAGTGCTGTGCTAGTGGAGGCCTCTCCTCAAGCACTGACCTCGTGTTTTCTTTTCCAGCAAATACAAACCTTCCAGCTCGTTCACGGTGTCAAAGGTAAAAGGTAAGCTGGCAGGCACCAGGCTGCGTGGGTCGGGTCAGTTTTCCCAGGACTCTCACTTCTGGCTGTCATCAGTGTCACTGCTCCGGGCTCTGCATAGGCTGCTTCTCCAGCTGGTCTCTGCCCACATGTGCACTGGAAACTGACTGTTCCTTGGTGGCTGACCTAGGAACACAGCTCTGGGGTTGCCACAGTGCTGATGCCTAGGGCTGGGCTCGCCAAGATTCTCTGTGGGGAGCTGTGATTCCTACCCCTTGGTTGCAGCCACCTGGAGCACAGGTTGTGTTGAGGATCTGGGGCCGATCTGGGCTCAGCAGTGAGCAGAACTCACTGATGGATCAGTGATGGATTAGTGATGTCTATCTTGGACCGGAGCGGGAGCGGGAGCTGTTCCTGCTGTGCTGTCCTAGGGGAGCCTGCTCTAGCCGGAAGCAGCTGCCCAGGTCCTGCCTGCTGACGTCTGTCCTTTGGGCTAGGAATGCTGGTCATTTGCCCTAGAGGCAAGAACATCTGCCTAGTGACCATAAAAATGTGCTGCAGTGCTTTTTTTATTACCAAAACAGCGCTTATGTGATCTAGGTCATTTTTAAAATACAGAGAAACATTTTTTCATGTTTTAAAATATTAACTTTACCTAAATTCTGCTACTTAGAGATAGCCGCTGGGAACATCTGGGTGGATATTCTCATTTATTCCCCTGTGTATTAAAAAGGTATACATCAGTGATGGATAGTCTTTAAAATTTGAAATGGAATGACTTACAGTTTGGTAACCTGTGTTTTTCCTTAAATAATTGTGAGTCAGGAACATATTTTAGCACTTTTATTTTTTATGTTATTCTAAGTCCAGTTTTGGTGACTCCCCCAACCTCCCACTGACCAAGTCCTTCCAGGTCCTGAGTGGTCCTTGTAAGGGGGCTACAGAAAAGTGGCCCCCTGTCCACGTAACAGGCTGGACCAGGGTCAGTAGGCTCCAGCCCTGAGCCAGATCTGCCAGCCACCTGTGTTTCTTTTCTTTTTTTTTTAAAAATGTGAGACAGGGTCTCACTGTGTAGCTCACACTGGCCTCCAGCTCAAAGTGATCTCCTGCCTCAGCCTCCCAAGTGCTGAGATTACAGGCCTGTGCCGCCACGCCTGGCAATGTGTTTCTAAATAAAGTTTTATTGGGACACAGCCACATCCATTTGTTGAGATACCATCATGGCTGCTTTCAGCTAGGGCAGCAGACTGGAGAGGTCCTGACATAGACCATGGGCCCACAAAGCTGAAAACGCCGACTCTGTCCTTAGAGAAAGCTCACCCAGGTCTCAGCTCTTCTGAGAGGAAAGCCCCTGCCCGGTCCAAGTAGAGGAAAGCATCTAACTCAACACGCCTTGTTCTGCTGGCCGTGGGGCAAACACCTGTGCTCCAGCCACTCAGAGGCCGAGGCAGGAGGATCGCAAGTTCAAGGCCAGCCTGGGCAACTAGTGAGGCCCTGTCTCAAACACAAAACAACAACAAAACCCAGAGCGCTGTTCAAAGGGACATCGTCCCATGTAAAAACCCCAGAGCTGACTCAGTACCACACACCTTCGTGTTTCCGTCCACAGAGCAGGACCTGGACTGCTACACCACAGTGGCACAACTCTGCCCGTTTGAGAAGCCGGTTTCCCACTGCCCGAGGTAAGGCAGGAGGAAGGCTGATGGGGCAGGGACGGGAAGGGACGGTCCCCGCGAGGTGGCCTTGGGCCAGGGAGGACTCTCCCCCTCGTCCCTGAGCTTGAGATTTGCCGTTCTGCGCTCGCAGACCGGCCCAGGACTCTGGAAGGTGGGTGACCTTTGTCGCCTTTAGAGTGGCTCAGCGCTGACCCTGGCCTGGGCGTTTCCTGCGGGTCACTGCAGGAGGAGCCCATGAAGTGTGCATGCTGAGCTCCGCCCCACGAGTGTACAGCGTGATGTGTGCAGACGCTGGGCATGGGGTGTAGCCACCACCCCGAGATGAAGAGCCCTGTCAGCCCGCCTCCCACCTGTCCCCGCCACCCACAGGTCCTTCCACTGGCAGGGGCCACGGCTGCTGTCGATTTTGGGGTCTGGCTTCTTGTGCCCTCCTCATCTTTTTGACACCCGCCTGTGCTGGGGGGTCCGGAGCCCACTCTCGCGTTCCCAAGTGGTGTCCCGTTCTGCCAGTGTGGCCCCGCGCCTGACCCCGTGGAGGCTCCAGGCTTCTGCCCTGACCTCGGTTGGCAGGTTCCTGGAGTCCTGGAGGTGACACCCACAGCCTGACGGAGGGTGTCCTGACCCCGTGTCTGTGGTCCCTGTGCAGCCCATGGTGCTCGGCAGAGGGGCCCCGAGGCTGAACGTGGCCGGCCCTCGGCCCTCTAGTTGCTGCCTGCCGTTGCCCACTCAGCAGAGCATTCCGACTCAGCCTCACATGGAGCTGGGGACACGGTGGGGTCCCCTGACCCCTTAAACACATGGAGGACAAGGACAGCCACCTTGAGGGCAAGGATGTAGCATTCCAGGAGCCCCGTCCCAAGCCCGGGGACTAGAGGGTTCTGGAAGGAGACCCCCAGGTCTGAACAGGGCAGGGGGACGTGGGAGGGAGGGAGCCTGGGGGGACCCTCACTGCTCCCTGACTCGATTTCCCCACACCAGGTCTCCCTCCCCAGGCTCCTCTGCCCCTCACGGCCCCACTGACCCTCCCACCTTGGACCTTCCCATGGGGATGGCAGCCTTTTAGTAATTTCCTTCAGCATTAAAGAGAAGCAGAGGGAAATGATTTCAGAAAATTGAAAGAAAAAGCTGACAGAGTGCATGTGTCTCAGATGTGCGTTTCTCCTGCCAATCCTGGAGAACTAGGGAGATTTGAGCGCTAGGACTCCCGACTCTCCCTCTCCCTCCCTGCCTGCCTGGCTCTTTCCCCTCAGGCAGGCTTGGCCCGCACCCTCTGCCACCTTGGTGTCCCGGCCGAGCAGAGCAGCACGGCGGCCTTTCCTGAGGCAGAGCTTGTTCCTCCTGGGTAGACCCCAGCCCTGTGGCCCTCCGTTTCCAGCTTGAGGCGCCTCCTGGTGCCCTGGGCCAGTGCGCCCCGGTTCTCAGCAGCCCACAGGCACACTGACCGGGCGCCACCCTTTCCTCCCCGGCCTGGGGCAGTGGCCGAGGGAAAGGCCACAAGGCCCAGGCCGGGGAGGCACCACGGCCCCCTGGCTTCCGCCCCTGCTTGCTTGTGCGGTCCTCCTGCCTGCGTCTGCTGATGGCCCCTCTTTCCCAGAGTCCGCTGTCCGGCCTCCTGTGGGGACGAGCCGGCCTACTGGGCCCCGGTGATCGGAACCAACATCTACACAGACGTGAGTACTGAGTGCGCCGGCCCTGGGCCCTCTGCCTCCTCACACCTCAGGCACCGACCCCCTGTTCCAGGCCCAGCTACACGAGACCCCTCCTTTGCTGTCCCTGTTTCTAGAGAGGTCGTCGCCTGCAACCCTGACCCTCATGAACACGGTGCAGCTGTGCCTCACTTTACCCAAGTGGCGTTTTCAGCTTGAAGCTTTGGTGGCCCACGTATCCAGTTCCCACATATTTAATAATCTTTCTGGCTCTCAAGTGTGTCTGCAGAAAGAAACCAGTGACTCCCCGAGGAGCCTCCCCGGGGGTCCCTGCAGCCTCGGCTGGGGCCCATAGAGAGTCCGGCCCCACGGGGCTGCACAGTCACAAGCCCAGCAGATGCATGGGGGCCCGTCTCCCCTCTCCCTCCTGCCTCTGACGCGGATGCGTCTGCCTGGTGTTTCTGAACGGATCCCAGACCTTCACCTATTCCCTCAGCCGTCTAGGGCCGAGGGATGTGGAGGCCTGGCAATGTAGTCATGGCCCCAGATCCTGTGGGTGATCTCGCTGCATCACCTGCCTCGCTGTGGAGTGGCCCAGAGCCGGGATCACCCAGGCTGGGCAGTCTTAGGTCTAAGCCGCCATGGGTCATCACCACTGGCCTCCAGCCAGCACTGTACTTTGTAATCAACCTCCCTCAGCTTCTAGTTCTTTGGGGGCTGTGGATGCAGGGTCTCCCTGTGGAGCCCAGGCTGCCCTTGAACCTGCAGCGATCCTCCTGCCTCAGCTTCCCACTGCTAGGATTGCAGGCTGTGCCACCACGCCCAGCTCCTCATTTTCTGTGTATGATTCCCCTTCGACACCGCCATCGTCACCCTCATCTGCCTTCAGCTGTTGCAGATTCTCGTAAATGTGAGGGAACCTTCATGATTAAGCTTTCCGCCCCTCATCCTTTCTCTTTCATCTTTATTTATTTATTTTTTTGGTACCGGGGATAGAACTGGGTCCTTGCACTTTTGAGACAGGCAGCGGAACCACTGAGCTAAATCCCCAGCCTTTTCTTTCATCTTTAAAGAGCCCTTTTCTTTTTGAAAATCATTCAGCTAAAATTGAATTCTAAAAGTGAGGACTTTTTTAAAGGAGTAAAATAACGTATATTGATTGTCACACTAAATGTGTGAACCAAACGTTGCTGTTAAAGGCCGGAGACTGGGCCAGGGGCCAGGCAGGGTGGTGCATGCCTGCAACCCCAGGCCACTAAAATGTAAGTGCTCCAAAGTGTCCCCAGACTGAGCCTCGGCATACAGCGAGGACAGAGGCTGAGGGTGGACGTAGTCGCCCCAGAGGCTGAGGCAGAAGCAGGAGGATCGCTGTGAGTTCAAGGCCAGCCTGAACTGCATAGTGAGACCTTGTCTCAAAAAAGCAAAACAAGGAGGGCCGGGGATTTGCCTCAGTGGTGCCACTGCCTGCCTTGTAAGCGCAAGGTCCCGAGTTCGATCTCTGGTACCAAGAAAAAAAAAGGCAAAACAAACAAAATAAAGGATGGACAAAGCTATTCTAGTCAAATACAACCGAACAGCAAGAGCACCAGTGGACATACTGCTACCTGGCCATAGGTAGCAAATGGGACCAAGCCAGTCCTTATGCAGTCCGTGTGCATTAGACAATACGGCAGCTAAGTATAAAGCAGGAAGAAGTTAGAGACATGGGGAAAGTGTGATGCTGAGGTGTGGTGGGCAGCTGCTCTGTATGACACGCCTGTCACGCATGGGGCTCTCTGAAGGCACCATCCAGGGGTCACTGTCCCCCTTGGTGCAGGAGGGAAGTGGGTCAGAATAACCCACCCAAGTCCCACGGTGCCCGCGGCCGGGGCCAGGCACAGCGGAGGAGGCTCTGGACTCTGCTCTTTCCGCTCCCTTCTGTCTGTCTGAAGGAACCCACGGCCACGCTTGCACCAGTGAGTGCAGGTGTGAAGACCTGGACGTGGCCCGGTGTGGTGACCTGGGCTTGTGCTTCCGGAGTCACTATGCGCGTGGCGGGTCTGACACTCAGTGATGCTTGGTCAGCATTCGTTAGAGGAATAACCGAGATGTCCCAGTAGTCAGTGCTAAAAGGAAAGAAAGGAAGAAGAAAGAAGAAAGAAAGAAAGAAAAAAAGAAAGAAAGAAAGAAAGAAAGAAAGAAAGAAAGAAAGAAAAAGAAAGAAAGAGGGGGAGGGGCAGAAGACAGCCAGCTCCCGTCAGCGGCTCCCTCCTGGCCTTCATTTCTGGGTCAGTCTGTGTTCTGGGAAATGTTGATGCTGTGGAAACTGTCTGTGTAACTGAGATTTGTTTGGGGAGCGCCCTGCTCCGGCCGTGCCTCCTGGCCACCCCTCCCTGGCTGCCCTAGCTGGCAGCTGAGGCTCCGGGCCGGAGCAGGGCTGTGCTGGTCCCGGTTCCTGTGTGGGATTCCGGACGTCCCAGCCTCCCTTGCTGCTTGTGAGGTTCTTACATGTGTGCACATCGGACCTCCTCGCCCCCCCCACATGCTGGACTGGAGCCCTGGTTCAGATTTCCCAAGACGCCAGCGATCCTGACTCAGTGGGGCTGGGAATCTGCATTTCTAATGCTCCCGGGTGAGGCCGCTGCTGCAGGCCAGGGCTGCGTCTGAGCACCCCTGGGGCGGCCACCGCAGTCCTGAGCACGCTGGCTACTTGGGGTGGTGATGGTGGTCATTGTAGCTCACAGCTGTGAGCACAGTGTGCCATCTGCTTCCACTGTGTCTCACCTAACTGTCACCGTGGCCTTCTGTCCCTCCCTGCTGACACCCCTGCTGGGACTCCTTCAGGCTGCAGGCCTTGGCCAGCGGTCCTCTACTGGCCAGCTGCATGGCTTTGGCCAGGCGTGGCCTCCCTGACCCTTGCTGTTTGTCCTTTGAGAGAGACTTGTCCTCATTTTTAGTGACCCGGCTCATTATGTCCCTGCAAGTGAAACGCTTTGAACAGGGCCACTAAAATGTGAGTGCTCCAAAATGTCACCGTGCTGAAACCCGCTGAGCGGTGAGGACAGAGGCTGGGGGTAGATGTGGTTACCCCAGGATGCCCAGCCCCTGCACACGGTGCCAGCCTCCAGCTGATGGCAGCAGCTCTTGACATGCAGGAGTCCATTGCACCAGGCCCTGAGGACGAGCAGACACCTTGCACCTTCTGCAGACATGGGGAGGGGAGAGGCACAGCCAGAAGTGGGAACGCATCTGATGTGTGGTGGAAGTATGCATTGGCAGTGGGCAGTGTGACAAAGAAACACCCTACAGCTCGCTACCAAGGCCACGACTGCTTGTGATCCCGGGAACCTTGGCTTAGCAGTGTGCAGAGCTCCTCTGGGATCGGGGCAAAGGACTGGCGCCCTGGTCACCTCAGCAGCTCTGCAGAGGCTCCCACCCCTGGCAGTGTGTGTGGAGGGCATCCCTCCTGCCTCTGGTGGGAAATAAACCCAAGGCCTTGCTTCCTGTGATCAGTCCCTGTGACGGACAGAGCCACCTCCCCACGCGATTCCAGAGCTCTCAAGCCTGCTCCAAGTCTCCCTGCTCTTTGAGGTGGATGCAGACCGACTGCCTATTAACCTTTGGGCTTTTTTCTTTTCTTTTTTTTTTTTTTGGTACGGGCGGTCGAACTCAGGTCCTTGTGCTTGGGAGGCAGGCAGCAGAACCACTGAGCTAAATCCCCAGCCCTGCCTGTTAACCTTTGGGAGGCACAGACCTCTGAGAATTGTGGATCCTTGGGGGGCACCCCCTGCAGACTGGGTGGCCCACCGTCCTGTGGCAGGGGCTGCGGGGTTCCCTGTGCCCAGGCCCAGGGGCTCTGGAAAGCAGGTGCCATTCTCCTTACGCATGAGCAGCGGCTTGGCGGGAACCCTGGTGTTTGGAGGACAGGGCAGCAACTGGGAGCCCTGGAAGGACTCAAGCTTCTCACAGGCGTGGGCTCTGAGGATGCCCACTCGCCCGGCTGCTGGTGCCTCCAAGCAGCACTTCCGGGAGCCCCTCTCGGCCACTCCCACCTGGAACCGCTGGGTCTGCCCCTCTCCCTGGCCCGGGTGGTCAGAGTGGACCCAGGGAGGAGAGCGGTCCCCGCCTCCTGCAGTCACGGGAGGCCCACGCTCTGCGGTCATCATGGTTCCTTTGGCCTCAGGTCACACATTCGCAGGCCTGGGATTGGGCTCTGTCATCTCTGGGGACCTTGGTTCTGCTGGCCACAAAAGCAGCCCCACCCCCTGCCAATCCAGTTGGCATCTGCTCAAATCACACCTTCCTGGCCTTGGCAAAGTTTCTGAATGCCATGAGCCCTGGCTTTTCTGCCTGAGAACGGGCACAGTGGTCCTCACCTGTCTTGGCTGATGATTAGGAGACCATGAGCAGCAGGCAGGTGGCACGGCCAGGAGGTGACGCACCCAGTGTCCCCTGAGGAGATGCGGGTCCCAGCGCCCCAGAAAAGCTGAGGGCAGTGTGGCCAGAGGGTCTGGCCCGGGCATGGTCTTGGGGGTCCTGGAGGAGGGAGGCCGACGGGGGTGTGGATTCACAGAGGGCGGGGCTGGCTGCTCCCCCAGCAGGTGGCAGTCAGCTGGTTCTGACCAGGTGACCCGGGTGAAGAGCTGGGGACGCGGCCTGGGGGTCGTGTGGGCAGTGGGCACCAGCCACTCCCGCTGAGCTCTGAGGGCGCCGGGCCACTGGCGCTCAGACAGCTCCCCCAGGGCCATCTTTCTTCGGTCTGGCCTGAGCCCCCGGGAGCACAGCCCCGACTTCCTCACCAGAGCAGGCTACACGGGGGCCGGGAAACAGCACCTCCCGCCCAGCTGGAGGCCCAGCACTGTGACCTGTGCCCTCTTTCTACTTTGGGGACCCAACACATTCGCTCCTGCCCCAGGGCCTTTGCACTCCTGCCCCGCTGCCTGGGTGCCCTGTGCAGTTACCCCACGGCTGCGCCTTGTCCCTCCTCTTCCAGTCTTCCCTGACAGTTGCTCTGTGGCTGCACTGCCTGTCTCAGGCCCTGCTTCCCTTCCCCACGGCTGAAGGGACCTTGCTGTGTGTGTGTCGGCCTCCTTCCTGAGTCCGGGGCCCGGCACACCCTGGTGCTCAGGAAGTTATGGAGGAATGAATGACCCAGGCCTCCAGAGAGACGCCAGGTGCTGCTGGCTGTCTGCGAGGGTCGACGCGGTCTGCCCCAGCGGCAGGGAGCAAGGCCGTGGCCCGTCAGGGGCTTCCTTAGTCTCACATCCCCAGCACTGACCATGCCTCCTCCCTCACTTGCAGACGTCCAGCATCTGCAGGGCAGCCGTGCACGCCGGCGCCATCCAGGACGACGTCGGGGGCTCCGTGGACGTGATGCCGGTGGACAAGAAGCCCAGCTACGTGGGCTCGCTGAGGAACGGCGTGCAGTCGGAGAGGTAGGCGGGGCCGCGCCGACCCGGGGTCCTGCTCCCACGGGCCGCCTGGTGGGGCTGCTCCATCTCCTGGGGCTCTGGCTGCGCCCGGCCTGTTTCCTGCTTAGCCTTCCAGTTTTCAGAGTAAGAACTTCTCTGTCTGTGACCAACGCGTGTTCTCGTAGAAGTTTTAGAACCTGCAGAGTTTTCAGACCCTAGGAAGAAGAGCAAGCCTCCTACCTGTCAGCTGGGGGGCAGACGGGCTGCTGGGCTTTAGTGTGGCCTCCAGGTCCTGTGTGTGCGTGTGCAAGCACACATCTGCACTGATGCATTTTTTCCCGCCACAAAACAAGTGAGGTCAAAGTGAAGTTACATAGCGTGGTTTAAAGCCACACACTAATGCCGTTAGGCGTTTCCTCAATGCAGGCGGAGGTCGGCACTCAGGGCCTTGGCTCTGCTTCACACCAGCTCTCAAGCAAGCCCTCCCCGAGCCTCAGTTTCCTCTGTGCAGCAGGGAGCATAGCAGCCCCCACCTCCCCCCGTTCCCTGGGAGAGTCAGGTGCCGTCCAGGCCCTCAGGAATAAGGGCTCTGTTGACTTCCCATTTTCCCTCAGCCCCGCTTCCAAGTCAGCTCAGAGCATGGGGCCAAGCACCGTCCAGGCCACGTGGCTGCGGGACAGACACACCAGGGCCGCTGCATGTGAGAATGACACAGGTTGCCGTGTACCTGTGCTGTCGGCGCTGTCACCCCTCCTTCTGGGGGCTCCACCCCCACATGTTCCGCTCACTGCATGGAGCAAACTCAAGAAGGAGCCCCGGGTCTACGCCGAACATGCGTGGGCATCTTCCTGCCATCATCCCCAAGCGACACCGGGTTAGGCTCTCCCCAGAGCCTTCCTGTCAGGTTAGAGTATATGGGAGGACTCCCATGGTGCCGGTGACGTTTTATATACGGACTTGAGCATGCTCAGGGGGTCAGGACCAGCCACCCCAGATCCCAGGAGCCGCTGGTACCGTGCTGGGGAGGGGAGAGCCACCCACTTGGTCTGCTGGACATTGTCCGTGTGCGCAGCCCAGGGGACTCACGGCCCAGAAGGACAGGTGCTACGGGCACAGGCGTGGCAGGCTGAGGGCAGGTGGCGTCTGGTGGCCCTGTTTTTGCTGGCGGGGTCGTCTTGGCCAGGCAGCGTCCCCGAGCCCCAGCCCCTCCTTTGTCAGAGGTGTCACTGTGAGGAGTAAGTGTGATTCGTGTGCAAAGCCTCACCCTGGGGCTGCTGGGAAGTGTGCGCTGAAGGCCTCAGTGCTACAAGGTGGTGAGGACAGTTTCCCGCCTGGAGGCGCAGCGCCCGAGGGGAGGAACAGCCCTGCCCTGACCCATCCCCAGTAGTTGCTGGGCACGGAGGGATCCCAGACGGCCCCGAGGGAGGCGTAGGTGTAGGACACTGCGACCAGCACGTGGGAGATGGCACTTCTGTTTTGGAACCCTTTGGTCCCTCGTACAAGGCCCCCCCCACCCCGAGCAGAGGCCTCGCTCTGCCCAGTCATGGTGGCTCTGGTTTCACAAGGTCCTGTGCAGGAAGAGGCCTCCCGGAAGTTGTGAGAGGCAGGGGAGCCCAGGACGGCAGCCCCTCTCCCTCACCGGGGAGCCGGGAGGGCAGAGGCATCTGGAAATGTGCCAACAGTGGCAGTGGATCCCTGGCCATGGGGCCTTTAACAACATCACCCCCAGCAGGGGTGTGCGGGGGACTCTCCTGTGGGCAGGGTGCTCACCGGCGCTCGAGGCAGCCTCTGTGCTGGGTGTGTCCTGGGGACAGAAGGGACCCAGGTCCCCGTCCTTCAAGGGTGGTGTCCAGTCCGAGGGCTGACAGTGGCCACCGTGAGCCCATACGGCATCTCAGGAGGGAAATGCTAAGACGCCTTTCTACAGTTTTCTCTCTTTTTTCAGTAGTGGGGATGGAACCCAGGGTCTTCACACTGAGCTGACCACAGCCCTTTTTATTGTTGCTTTGAGACAGGCTCTTGCTAAGTCAGAGTCGACCAGGTGGGGCTTGAGCTTGGAAGGAGGGTGTTCAGGCTCCCGGGCATTGAGTGCCTACTGACTGCCCGTCCCGGATGCCCCTGGCCCCACAGATCCCTGAGGAGCAGGCGCCTGCGGGAACCCAGGTTCAGGTGTAGCAACTGAGGCTCAGAGAAAGGGCTCCCGGCCCGGGCCCTGTAGTGGGATCAGAATCCACTCAGCAGAGGCATGAGCAGGCTCAGAATCCCTTAGAGAAAGATCTATAGACACATCCACCCTCCTGTCCCACATGCACACACATGTACAGAGAGGGGCGCATGCGTGTGCAGGAGGCATGCCGTGGGCTTTCCCGGTCATAAAAGGAAACCACCCTTTAAGAAGCCAGAGTGCGCAAATGTTTGACAGCCATGTTCCCTGACTCCTCGGGGACGGCTCCTGGGCAGCTCGGGGCCATGCCGACCCTTGCCTGGCCCTCGAAAGGCTCCTCCTCCTCCTCGGAGAAACTTCCAGAAACAGTGGAGCCCGTTTCATCACAGAGCGCTCAGCTCCCACGCCCAGGCGTCTCCCCAGGTTCCCCTGGGTCTCCAGACTCTCCCTCCATGTGTGGTCCCCACGGCTGTGAGCATCTCCTCCAGCCTGTCTGCTGGGGCGGGCCATCCCGTGGCAGCCCGTGCAGCGTCTGCGGTGGATCCACCATCACCATTAGCATCGGGCTGTTTCTTTTCTCATTTCTGTAATAAACAAGCCCAGAAAGTACCTCTTGGCACAAGCAGTCCTTCTGGCGGCTTCCTGGGGTCACTTCCTGTCACCAGAGTACCCACGGCCACCCAAGTACCAAGGTGCCATCTCCATGTTACAAACGTGTATCTCTGGCATGGCCCCTCCCAGTGGCTTCCCACCACACTGGGTGAACTGACTGCCCCTCCATCCTCTGGCGCCTTCTCTCTGTTCCCAGGAAGCACTGTTCCCAGGGCCTTTGCACCTGCTGCCACTTAGTCATGGGCCCTCACAGCTCCATCCTGGGGTGGGGGTCCTCCTGCCAAGTGTCTCACCCTCCTGCTTGGATCTGTGCTGTCACTCTCTGTGGGGTCGCCACCCTCTGAGACCATTTCTTGTGTGTATTCAGCAGCTTTTCTCCCGACCCCGGCTGTAGGCTCCTTGAGCCCAGAATGCATCTATTTTCTTCCCTGACCCTGAGCCCAGCACCCAGCACCCAGGACACAGTAGGTGCTCAGGAAACACCGGTCAAATGACAGATTGCTGGGCTCAGCAATGTATGCAGAAGGGGTTGAGGGATTTTTAATGCCCTTTATCAGTTTTTATAGCGCCTTTCATGAAAATTGTCCAACATCTTTTATAAAAGTATCCAGTGCTTTTTATGCAAATTTCCCAGGATTCTGTAGCTGTTTGTGATCCCTTTAGATGCCTGGGGAGTAAGGAGCCAACCCAAGGAGACCGTTGGGAGGCCTCGGCCTGGGAGACTGAATCTGAATTATGAAATCACAGCCACTCCACCAGACATGTCTCTGCCAGCGTGCCGGGCCCCTGCAGCTCTGTGAATGGGGGCGAGGCCCTCGCCCGCCCCGGCCCTGGCGTTCTGGCAGCACTGACAGCTGCAGGTCCACATGCCGTGGTGGTGGCATCACCCTGTTCCCTGGGCCAGGTGCTCGGCAGGCCCAGGGGAGAGGGCTAGGGCCCGGGCTGTGTCCCCCGACTGCTGTCTGGTGGCTCCCTTCTCGAGGTTGCTTGGGGCCCTGTGGGTGTGACAGCCCCTACCTGGCCACACAGCTCCTGGCCCCCAGATGTGGGGGTGGGCGCGGGCATGGCCCTAGCGTGGCCAGGTCACCAGCAGGGGCTCTCCGGGATCCTGTGTTAGTGGGGAAACCCTGCAGCCTGAAGCCTGCGCTCTCTTCGACCCCTGCCCGCAGCCCTCTCCCTGCCCTGGGCCGAGCAGCTGCTGCCTCCTGGCTCCCTCTCCCTCCACTCCTCTCAGATCCACATTTCCAGAGTTCAGTCCCAGGGTAGCCAAGAGCACAGAGCTGCCATGAAGAAACAAAGAAAAACAAGCAGGAATTCCGGGCAGCTGCTCCCCGGGGATTGCAGTCTCCCGGGCCTGGGGGCCCTTGCCTGGGCCAGGGGTCGAGTCCCATCAGGATCTCTCGTACACAGCGACCCGGAAGGAAATCGTGCTCATAAGTCAGCCTGGGGTGACCCCCTGCTCATGGGTGTGCAGAGCAATGCACAAACTACATGTTCAAACCCACCCAGGGCTTTGCCCAGCTCCCCTGCAGAGCACTGCCGGGCAGACCACCGAGCCTGGAGGGCTCTGACCTGGGGGAGCAGCTGTCAAGGTTCAGGAGCTTCCACTGTGCTGCAGCGGAGCCCACCCTCCCCTGCCCCGAGGTGCTGGCTCAGTTCCCCAAGGTTGGCGAGAGTGGAACCCCCCTCGAGCCGCCCAGTGGAATCTGTTGGCTGCCTCAATCCAGTGGACAAACAGGGAGGGGCCCTTCACTCCAGAAAAGAAACAGAGCCCCAGAGGGAGGAAGTGCTGAGTGCTGAGTCGTGAGCAGGTGAGGGCAGGTGCAGTCGTGCCTCTGTGGGAAGGGCAGGAGGATGGAGTCGCTCACGGCTGTGGAGGAAGTGGGGGAGGAGGTGCCGTTCAATCGTAGAGCCACACACAAGGGTGACCTGTTCAGAAACTAAAGAGCACAGCCGAGGACTCTTCTCCATTGTAATTCTGATGTAAAAGGAGCCCTCCCAGTTGCATGCTGGCACGCAAAGGTACGAAGTTAGACCTTTGCCTCATACCGTGTTTATAGGTTTTCTTTTTTTTTCCAGTACTGGGAATCAAACTCAGGACCTTGTGCTTGCCAGGCAGGCGAGGTGCCACTGAGCTACATCCCTGGCCCGTGCTTATGAATTAATTCAGAGTGGGTCAGAGGAAGGCTTAACATAAGTCCAAAAAAATAAAAAATTTTAAAATAAGTATAAGTCATCATGACCCTGGATTAGGTGATGGCTTCTTAGATATGAGGCCAAATGCGTATGTGAAGTGAAATACAGGTAATTTGGACTTCATCACAATTTAAAAGTTTTGTACCTTAAAAGACATCATTAAGGAAAAGACAAACCACAGACTAGGAAAACTTTTTTCTTTGGTACCAGGGATCAAACTCAGGACCTTGCACTTGTGTGCGCTTGCGAGGCAGGCGGCAGAACCGCTGAGCCAAATCCCCGGCCCTAGGAAAACATTTTTGCAAACTGTGTATCTGATAAAGGATGCCGTGTGTGGGAGTGTGTGTGTCTGTGTGTGTCTGTATATAAAGTCTGATGACTCAGTAATAAGGAAACTAACAACTAGAAGGTTACCCGAGCCGAGGTTTCCCCAGTGAAGACACAGGAGGGTTGCTACGCACACAGAAAGAGGCCCAGGGAGACGTCACACCCCTTCGGGCAACCTGACTTTGAGGGCCGCTGGGAGCACCCCGAGTGACAGAAGGGAGCTGAGTGGCGAGGCCGTGTGCCCCAGTTAAGTGTCCAGCCCCAGGGGCTCCCCCGAGGCAGCGGGCAGCACTGTGGTCTGCAGCCCAGGCCGGAGGCTCACAGCACGGCCATCCCTGAAAAGGGAACCAAAGGGTAAATGCAGAGTGGCCATCATGCAGTGGGTCTAACTCAGCCAGACTGGGGAGTTGGCGCCAACACACTTGGTGGGCGTGGAAGAAACCAGACAGTGGCCACGTGGTACACGATTTCGGGTATGGTTACTGGAAATGCCCAGAGATACCCGGGCTAGGTCACCAGGGTGGCCACGGGAGGTGAGTGGGCATCGAGCCCCTGAGATGGCTGAAAGCAGCAGGGCAGGAGACTCCCCGAGCGCGCGACGTGAAACCCGCTGACCTGTCCCCGTGAGAGCCGCGTGTCCAGCACGTCGTGCTCCTGTGACGCTGTTAAACGTGGGCGCATCTCGGTCTGTGAAGGGTTTGCCTCCCGTGAGAGGGATGGCGTGCTGACTGGCCAGGAGTGTGGCCTTGGGGCAGCCACTCCACCTCCTATGAAACAGGCCTGTGAGCGTCACACCAGCCTGGAGGACAGTGAGCAGCAGCCTGCAGAGCAGTGGGCACCGGAGCCAGGCCTCCGGGCAAGCCCCACCCGGGACTCCGGCGGCCAGGTGGCCGCTGACTGGGCTGACAGGTGGCAGCGAAAAGCACGCAGAAGTCTTAAAGGGTGAGGCCGGTTCCCAGATGGGGCCGGTAAAGTCCGAGTTAAAAGAAAATAACTTTAACAGCCCTGACCTAGATTCAGCCCGAGGCTCCCTGCAGAGCCAGCTGTGCCTGACTCAGGGCCGTCTTCCCAGCAGCGGCTGGGCCGTGTTCCCCGCAGGGCTGTGCCCGCCGTCCTGCCTGTCCCCCTAACTCGCTGTCCCATCTCCCTTCTTCTCTTGCAGCCTGAGTGCCACCAGGGATGGGAAGGCCTTCCGGATCTTTGCAGTCAGACAGTGAACGCTCAGCACCGGGGACGAGGGATGTCTTCAGCAGGGACTTGGGGTTTTGATTTTCCTTTTTGTCATTGTGGGGAGCAGGGTGGGGAAGCGGAGGGTCAGGGAACTTCCTTGGAATGGTGTCAGCATCGTGTCCCTTGTCGCTCTGTGGCAAGGTGACATCTCAGGCTTCACCTGAGCGGCAGCATTTAGCGTCTGTCAGACAACTGGCACCAGACCTGCCGGGCCTGGGTGTCCTTGCAGGGCCCCTCTCCTTCAGGGACCTGCCCCGTCCCTTGGAGGGGACAGCCCCAAGATGGCCCTCGCCCCGTGTTCTCTCGGGAGTGGAGGGGCAGATCCCACCCTCGAAAGAACACAGCATGTGGAAGTCGCCATTGCCAGGTGTTGGGGCCGGGTGGGTTTCGGGAACAGAGAGAGAGTAGTTATTTAAAAATGGAAAGCCACAGTCCATCCCTGCTGGTGGAGAAGAGGGCTCCACGTTTGCTGGTCAGACACTTGGCTGGAGGAGCGGCTGGGCCCCCGGCAATGTCCACCCATCCCGGCCAGGCCCGCTTGGCAGGGCAGCCATGGAGGCTGTGTACTCAGCAGTGCTGGTGCAGACTTTAGCAGCAACCCCGAGGTGCATCCTGTCTCTGTCACTCCCTGCGTCCTATGGCCTGTTTCCCTCTGTGATCCTTGGTCTCATTGAGGACTGATGCATCCGGGTCCCTTCCGTCCCCCCAGCGTCGCTGCATGGCCAGGGCCCTGTTTACAGCGCGCTCTGGCTCCCCCCACCCCCGGGGTCTGGGGGTCCCAAGAAGGCATCGGAGCACAGCCGAGAGGATGGCGCCGGGCAGCTCCCCTCCCAGGCGAGGCCGACCTAGTTTTCCTCTATGAGTGGATGGATCCCTGCTTATTCCACTTAGGAAAGCGCGTCTGGTACAGCAGCAGCAGCAGCACAAGGGCAGCGCTGGAAAGGTTTCTTTTCCTGTCTCCGTGACCCAGCTCCTGACAGACCTTCCTGGGTCTCACTCTGGCCTCCGTCACTCAGTCTTCAGGAGCCAGGGCGGAGGTGCAGCAAAACGCAACTCCCTTTGGAAATCGCCTCCCCGCAGAAAGTGAAATTCCAGGCTGCGGCCTGAGCTGCACCATCTGCTGAATGCCAGCTTCAGGCTGATGTCACTGTCATCAGAATGCGTCACGGGGAAGGACTGCAGCAGGAAACCAAGCAGGTTCAGCTGGCGCCTTTCTCTCTTGTTCAGTGGCCCTCATCAGTGCAGACCCTGATGGTCAATCGCTTTTTAACCATCAACCCTCCTTGGGGTTTTGCAGGCGAGCTGCTGGCCTGCCTGAGCTCAGTGTGCAGTTCAGGACCCCGATGTCGGGGCAAAACGATTTGGTTCCCGCTCAGGCGGGCAGCTCTTTAGCACCGGACATCGGGAGGTTCTGCATGGAGGGGTTGTGTGGCCGGACCCCGGCTTTGCCCCGGCGTCTGTGCCCCCGCCAGGAGCCCTGTTGAGTCCAGCAGGGTCCAATGCTTGGTTCCAGAGCGCCCACCCCAGGCAAACCGGAAGTTCCAGCATGGCCGGCCATCACTTTAGAGGCCCCAGGTCTTCGGTGTCTCCTTAGCTGCCTTCTGCCTGGGAGGCTGGAGACAAAGCCAGGGCCAGAGCTGGAGGCCTTTTCCATCCTTATAACATTTGGAGCCGGAACCACTGTTCTCCGGAAGTGAAGTAAGAGCGTGAATGGTGAATGTCTGTGGCCAGGGCCACCTCCGATTCTGGGCTCTCACAGGGTCCCTCCTGTCCCCTCCCCAGGGAGGTCCTGGTTGGCTTCAGGTTTTGCCATTGTGCTGGGAAGGGGTTTGGATTCCTCAGTTACCTGTAGGCTCAGTCGGCCCGCAGTATATGTGTGTGCTTTTTTCTATGAAAAATGATGTATTTTACTACTTCTGTACAAAAGTTTATTATAAATGTTTTTTGTGCTTTGCAAGAACAGGGCCATGTGGGTGGTTGCTATGGTTCAATAAAACTGGTGTGATTCCTCAGTGGTCTCTAAGGGTCTTTTATGGGCAGTTGGGCAGCCTGTGAGCTAGGCACCAGGCTGTGGGGGTGTGCTCTCTCTTCTCCTGCAGGCTGTGTGCCTGGGGCCCGCCCCGGGGAGAGCAGGCGGTGACAGCCCGGCAGGCACAGGCCGCAGTCTGGGCCGGGGCCTGGCCTCCACGCTGTCACAAGAGCTCGCAGCGGGGTGGCACTGTGTCCACACTGCCTCTGCTCTGGCTGCCCCATGCGCTTCCTGATTGTGCGGCTCCATCCTGGAGGCTGAGGGCCCAAGCTGGAGCTGGGCTGGGGCTGCTGTCCTCGGAGGCTTCGCTCCTCAGTTTGCAGATGCCGCCTTTGCTTGCGTCCTCCCCGGCCTCTCCTATGTGTACACACTGGCCTCTCCCTCCTTCGATTTGCAGCCCTGGGTACTGAACCGACAAGGCTCTGCTGCTGAGCTACATCCCCAGACCTACCTGTTTAGAATTTTCTTTTGGAGACAGGGTCTTGCTAAGTTGCCCAGGCTGTCCTTGAACTTGTGGTCCTCCTGCCTCAGCCTCCTGAGTAGCTGAGATTATAGGTGTGTGCCACGGTGTCAAGGGTCCAGTGGCAGTGAATTAAGGTACCATCTTGTGGCCCATGTGGCCTTGATTGCCGCATCCCTGAATGTGGGACAGGTCGAGGGCTGGGTGGAGAACACCCCAGTGTCTGTCAGGAGAGAAACCATCCCCAGGCTCAGCCAGGTGCTGCTTTTAGGTCCACTTCACATGGTTGGGCCACGACCATTCCTAGGGCTCTCACAGCAGCGGCTCAGCAAACAGAGCAGAGTTGGGAGGGTCCAGACTCGAAACAAACGCTGGCCGCAGGAGGAGCAGTGGGCCAGCCTGGCTATCTCAGAACAAACTGAACCAAACCAAACCTTACCTCTTAGGCCCTTAAAAAACGAACTTGGTGGTGAAGCCACAGTTTGGAAACTTCACAGCATTTCTCTTACCTTTCGTGGTGTCCAAGAGAACTGGGCATGGCCTTCCCAGGGAACAGGGGACAGCCCAGAAGTCTTCCCGGCTTCCCTGGCCCCTGGCCTGGCTCTGGAGGGCTCGAGGCTGCTGGGGAGCCCACCCTGCAGCCCCACCTCAGCCCTGCTCTGAAGAAGGGTGCCATGGGCGAGGAGGAGAGGATTCACTGTGCCAGCTACCTGCCCTGGTACGAGCCAGGCACCAAGTGCATACATGAAGGCTCCATAGGAAGAGCGCACTTCTGCCATGCCCGCTGCTTCTCAGCCACTTCAGTTCTGTGTGTCACACGTGTGGCTGCACGTGACAGGCTGGCAGAGGGGCACAGGTGGGGCCGGGTGTGTGTACTCAGGTCCCCCCTCCCTCTGCCACGCCTCGCTGGGTAGTAGCCCTTGTCCTGGGCTAGGGTGGAGCTGCCAGGGAGGTGCAGGCCAGCAGCAGCCCCTACAGTTCCCCGTACGGTGTGGTTCAAAGCTAGAATTTCCTCCTTATTCTCATTTTCTGGCTGAGATTCCCCAGCTTTTCGTTCATCTGAAAGACACTTCCTTTCTGCCTCTGTATTGATGTGTCAGCAGCTTCCTATATGCTGGTCACCCTTTCCCTGCACCATTGCTCAGCAAGCTTTCTCTTGAAGGACCCAGCTTACAAATATGTCAGGTCCAGTGCACGGAGTTCCCTCGGTACCTCGCAGCCTGGGCGCTGCAGCAGGACAGCAGCCACGGCAATGAGACCCGGGCATCTGTCACAAGAGTGACAGGAGACCTCGCAGAGGCAGGAGGCTGGCCTGTGGACCGAGGTGTGGCAGCCTCTCTCTCTTCTTCCAGGACGGGGGACTGAAGCCAGGGCCTTCACACTGAACTAAGCCCCCAGCCTGCTTTTTAGTCTGTTTTAGTTTTGAGACAGGATTGCTAGGTTGCCCAGGCTGGGCTCAAACTTGTAGTCCTCCTGCCTCTGCCTCTGCCTCTGTCTCCCAAGTGCTGGGATTCCAGGTATGTGCCACCGAACCCAGTTGAATTTCTTAACAGACTTTTTGCTTTTCATTTTGGCATCATTGCAGACCTGCAGAAAAGGTGAGAAAGAACCCCACACCCTTCCACAGCCCTCCCCACATGTGCGGTCCTCTGCTTTCCCTGGGTCCTTCCAAATCATTGACGAGCTCCATGTGGCCAAGCGGCGCTTCTGTCCCTAGATGCTGCATGCGGTGGGACTCACTGGGACCGAGGATGTGCTCCCTATGGCGGCACAGTGCTCCATCCTGGGAGCCTCCGAGGAGCCCAGTGTCCAGTCCATGCAGCACCTGGATGTCACTGGCTGTTCCCATGGCCTTTATGATCATCTCACGCCTGACCACATGCAGTCTCCTCGCCTCCTCAGTGTCCTTGAATCTGAAACCAGGTTGTCTTGGCCCTGTGTGGCACTGGCGTTTTCAGCTGATTGCTGCCCACTGGTTTGCACCTCCAGTTGCATCTGTCAGATGTCTCTTCACGACGACAGCCAGCCCAGGGCAGCCACAGTAGGGATGGTGTGTCCTTCTCGTGTGTCCGATCGGGAGGCCCAGTGGGTGTCGGTTCTGCCTGCTGGGTCAGGAGTCCCAGATGTTCCCCTCCCCCTGGGAGCCCCTGCTTCTTCTGTCCCTGTCCTGTGGCAGCCCTGTCCCCTGTCCCGACAGCCCTCCCCTGCTGGCTTCAGGCCCTGTGGCATCTTGCTGATACAGTGTCTCAGACAGTTGCCAAGCGGTGGCATTTCTGGTCCTCGCACTTTTGAGTTCGTCCTTCAGCCTGGCGCTGCAGGACGCATGATGAACCCTTCCCGTTCATCCACCTGCAACACGTGTGTGCCAGCTTGGGCAGACAGCTACTCCACCCCACCCTCCCGGCGCAGGGCCTCGGTGCTTCACTGTGCTCCTTACTCAGAGCGCAAATCCCCCAGCTCTGAACAGCGGCGGCTGGTCTAGCTGCTGTCAGCAGCTCCTGATGCCCGGGCTTCCTGGCACTGGCTGTTTCTGGCACAGTGAGAGCCCCTAGTCCGCCTTTCCCAGTCCTGGAACACACTGTGCCCCCCAGGAGCCCGGTCCCTTGGTGGGCGAGATCCCCCGATACCCAGATGGTGCTCCCTGGTGGGACGAGTGAGTGGAGGATGCCTGTGCCTCCACACAGCGGATGGACACGGACGGGAGAGCTCAGCCCTCACTCTGCCCACACTGGGGGGCGGGGAGCAGAGGCCGGGAACAGGGAGTCCATGTCTGACGCCGCTTCCTCTTGCAGCCCAGGACCGCTGTGTGGCTTTGTGTGTGCTCCGTGCCTTTCAGCTGGGAGGCCCTGGTGCCAGGAGTGAAGCCCCAGGGCTTCTCCCATGGGAGAGGGGGCTGCAAGGGCCTGCAGAATCCTAGGGCTGCAAGGTGGGGTGCCAGTTGGGGGGCAGGGCAGAGCACGGCGGAGGCCCCCACAAGCAGCAGTGCCCAGGAGTGGTGACAGCCAAGGTGCCAGTGCCCCTAAAGAGAGACCTGGGGATCTGGAGGCCTCTTCACAGGGCACGGGTCTGGGCGGAGGCACGGTCCTGTCAGCCGCAGCCAGCACTGCAGCACTGCAGACGCAGCAGTGACCTCTCAGCTCCTCCTCCCCTCGGTCTTCCGGGGCCCCTCCTGGCTCCTTCCTTAGGCAGGGGACAGGTGTGCAACATCACAGGCTGCACCCAGCCCACTAACTCCCAACCCTGGACACAGGAGCAGAGAGGAATCCGAGGCTGGTGGCCAAGGCCGTGCGGAACAGAGGCAGCCCGGCCCAGCCGCTCCCCTTCCCGGCCAAGAACCACGCGGGTCACTGCTGCACAGGCCCAGGTCGCGGGCAGCTCAGACTTGGGGGTGTGGGACTTGGGGACCCTCGCTCCTGTCCCCCTCCACATCCCCAGGGGCTGCCTGGCCGGCCGCCCTCTCCCCCAGGGCGTGCGGAAGTGGGCTTTTGCCCTCTTCTTACTCTGGGTTTGTGTGGCATCCCCTGGAGCCTGGGGCTCCTGTGAATTTGAATTCAACACTGCATTTTCTCCCAGAGAATCCTGCCCACCCAGCCACGGCTGCTGCGGAGATGGCCTGCGGCTGGGGAAAGGAGTGCTCCCCATCTTGTTTCTTTCGACTCTGAGACGGGAGGCTGCGTGGAGAAGGCCTCTGTGAAGCAACTCCTCTGTAAAGGCGTCTGTTTGCTGGGAAGGCCGAGGCAGTACTGGGGTCTCATTAAGTTGCCCAGGCTGGGCTCAAACTTCATCCTCCTGCCTCAGCCTCCCAGAGTGCCTGGGTGACAGGCAGGTGCCACCATGCCCGGTGTAGCTGAGACTCCTTTAAGACTTGAGCCCGAGAGATAGAAAGGCCTGGATGTCCCCTGAGCCCCGGAAGAGAAGTCACGGCACAGGGCAGAGCCTCAGCGCCAGCCACCTGGCGGGGGAACAGTGGGCAGCGGTGGGCAGCAGTGGGGACACAGCAGTGCTGGCCAAGCAGGAACAGTGGCAGCAGCCCAGCCAGTGGGTCCCCGGGACCTCAGCACACCGGGGAGTCGGTCCAGTCTGCCTGGGGTGGGCAGGGTGGGCGTGGCCCTGCGCCTGGAGCCCCGCAGGCCCTGGGCCGTGTGGCAGGGCCGGCTGTGGCAGTCCAATTGCTACAGGGCTGAGAGCACAACCAGTGGTTTGGAGCCAGGAGGCCAGTGTAGCCCGGGACCTGTGCTTCCAGCAAGTTCCCCGGCCACTGCCCCGTCCGTGTCCCAGGCCCTTAGTGGCAGTGTGGCTCACACCAGTGTCTGCACATTGCATATTCACTCAACAGACACAGGACCGTGCCACCCCGCTCTGCGCCCTAAGCACCAGATCAGCTGCCCCGTGGAGCTCTCAGCTGCCCTGGGCCCCAAGCCACCCCTGTCCGCACTTCCCCTCTCTCCAAGCCGCTTACATAAGTGTTCCCTGAGGCCCGGAAACTTCCAGGTGGCCCGAGGCCTGCCTGCCAGATGCTCTGA